CTGGCAATCGAAGTTGGGTCGCCGACGGGCTCGGAGCAGAGCGAGGTCGTGGAGGTCGCAAACGCCGGCGACGGAGCTCCAGAAGGAGAAGGCCAGGCGAGGTCGGAGGATGTGGTCATTCGTGTCGCCTCGGACTCCCCGAATTAGGCTGCGAGATCGCGAATGGCGGTACGGGCCTGTTGGTGACGTTTCTGTGACTGAAGGTGTAGGTGTCGTCTGGAATATGACGACTGATGGACTATGAACGTTTGAATTCTTTTAGTTATTGAAAATTCGAAAGCCCCATAAACATTCGCTTACTTTGTACGCCTCTTCTTTCTTTGCTCGATTGTTTGCTTGAGTACTGCTGGCCGTGTATGTAGTTTTTGGTATCTTCTTGCTTTGGTTATTTTCCCATTTGTGCAATTTATTTGGTGACATCGACGTAGCGAGAATGTGTATTCGAACATCGGCCGCGGGACGATCCGGACCGGCAGTGTTCCGCCGTCGTAGATATCTCGCTCTGCTCCCCTCCCTCAACACATCTCAGCCATGAACGAAAGCCCAGGACAGAACATCCAAATAAATACCGCCGATAATCCGCCAGATCCCCCAGCAGTCAGTTTATTCAAATACTATTGATGCACTCAACTGATATCATGCCAAGGGTAATGAGCCGGACACAAAACCTGTGGACATTGACGCTCCGTACGAACATGCACCTCCTAAGGACGGTGATCCATGGACAACACTTCTGACACCCGAACTCGAGGCGGATACATTGCGCTGCACTGCATGGAAAGACGAAGTCCAAAATCTGTTGATCTTCGTGAGTCGACCATCACTATTATACCTCATTTTTCACCAGCACTTACATATACTGTGGCCAAGGCGGGTCTTTTCTCTGCTGTGGTCACAACGTTCGTCGTCGAATCCTACAAGCTTCTCCTGCCAGATCCGAATGACACTACCAACGGCCTGCTCTTCCATATCGCCAGCGGACTCAACAACACCTCCCCTTTCCCCCCATCTGTTAGCCCAGAATCCATACTCACTCCATTCTCGCAAACACCATCTGCCGTCAGGATCAATGTGTTCTGGTTCATCAGCCTGATCCTCAGTCTCACGACCGTTCTCGTCGGCACCATCGCTCTCCAGTGGCTGCGCGAGCATCAATCCTATAGCGGATATTCGAGCAAAGAGAAGTTGGCGATGCTGCACATGCGGTCGGAGGCCATAGAAGCTTGGTACTTGCCGCAAGTATTCGCAACGCTTCCTGTACTACTTCAAGCCGCCCTTGTCCTCTTCCTGGCTGGATTGATTGATTTTTCCTTGCCTCTTGGAACGAAGGTCACAATCCCTGTCTCTATCATTGTTGGAGTGACACTGCTGTTCCTCGCCGTGACTACACTTCTTCCATCATATCAAGTTCTTTTTTTTTTCTGTGGACTGTACCCTCGGAAATCACTTCCGACTCCATGTCCATTCAAATCTCCCCAGTCACATGCATTCCGAACCATATGTGGGATTGTCTTTCATGCAATTTTCCATATCGTTCCCTCCCCGTCGCTCGATTATGATGACAGCTCGCCTGATATGGCTGACTGGAAGTTGATAATAAAAAATCAGTCCTCACTCATTCCAGACCATCTAGCGTCATCTGTATGGAAGATGTGGAACCAACACACTTGGCCTGCCCTTGACCGAGAATGGCTTTCTCTGCGCGATGCATGTCACCAACGCATCTTCGATAATGATCCAGATCTATATCAGCACCGGGCCCAGTGGTCTTTCCCTCTCAGTGATGTGACTCGATATTTGATCGAGGTAGCAGACCAGACGTCAGGCTTCAAACATACAGACTCATATCTTGCCGCCTTAGTTCACTGTTTCAGTGAACTTGCTGAATCTATTTGGATAGATGATGTTCCGAAGCCCTATCACTTTCAACGTAAAGACCGTCGTAGCAATTACTTTGAATACCTTTTTTCGGGGCCTTTCAGGTTTTGCTCCTTGTCAAACTTCATCCTTCATGGCGGAAATTATAAATTTGATCAACTCAAGGAAGATAATCTTTATGATTACTTGAAACATGCAGAGGTCAAGCCTCGGTTATTCAGCACCGACCAAACCATGATTTTTCTCTACATCCTTTTCAGGAACCACTCCTCGCCGGCACTACTCCAGTACCACCGAGAATTGTGGGTGCGGCTGCTACCTCTTGTCGGCAATATTGCACCATTGACACTTGCCATGACCGATGGTTCCCAATCTATCCCTATTCCTGCCATTACTACAATGTCTATGGTATACTCTGTAATAACCGATGAAAATTTTGCACCTGGTAAGAAATTCCCGCAGATGTCCTTTTTTTTGCGTGTTGACCATTATATCGTGTAGGTCAAAAATATTTAGATATGACAAATATTCTCACCACAATATTCCAGTTGGCTGCGTCTCATAGCGTTTCTCAACAGAGAATAGAGTCCCTTCTTGCACACCCAGACATGACCTCAGTGCTTGGATTCTCGGTATTTAAGATAAATGGATGTTTGGTTTGGGCACAAAAAGATCCCCTGACTAAAGAAGACATACTACGGGACGGTGGCGATCAGCTCACCCAACTTGCGGAGTTTATAAGCGCCCATTTAAATGCACGGTCCAACAAATCATCAAGCTTCGAGAATGCACCAGTGGACGTGTTATTTTACCTCTCTTCGATGTTGTCGTGGAGTCTATTGCGCTGGCCAACTTTTCTAAAAAGTCTACGGGACCAGGACAGTCATTTTGGGCAAGCACTCAGGTCATTGCTCAATGCTTTGCACAAGACGTGGATGTCTGGCCGGAAGAATGATCCCCTTGAGAAACGGTTTAAGCCTGACTACAATTATGGGGGAGTTGAAGAATTTTCTAACGAGTGGTGGAATGAAATCTTCGAACATCTTACCGACCCTCACACCATTCCACAAGGTGCGATTATCTCTTTCATTTTACATAGTTGTTCTCAATATTACCTTTTCATATAGGGCCCGTTTCTGCTGCGGAGGGACCTCCAGATGCTCGTCCTGATCCCTTGACACAATCAGCCTCTCCCCCAGAGAATGAAACCGAAGATGCCATTAATCCGTTGGTTGCTACATCTCCCGGAAATCTCTATCGTTCTCGGGAATTGAACATGCTCGACAGCGATGCTCCGCCGCCGAGCGCGCACCCCGATCCTCAGCTCGAAATTTCCGGACATGAACCTGCCCCCATCTTGGTCAATCACGAAGTCGCTCGCATCCCAGATCCACAGCCAGACTCGCCTACCATCCTACATCAACCTCCGACATTAGCTGCTGAAGGCGCTGGCACGATCAACGTTCTCCCTCTCGCCCCTATAATATCTTCATTCGACAAGCCTGACGAAACGCGTCCTTCGGATGATGTCCACACCGCTGCAGGAGCGGTACCCCCATCAGTTCCTAAGCCACCGGCGTCGTTCAGCATTGCAGATCCTGAAGGTCTACAGCAGGCCGCGAGCAGCCGCAGTGGCGAACAGGACCTTCAGCCTGATGGCCTCCATCTGACCATCGATGTTCGGCCACCGACGAGCCCGGAGCACTCACCAGGCGCCGGTGGCGATCGCTCGTTGGGCGAGGCGGAACCGGAAGACGCGGTTGTTCGTATGGAATCGCCGATTTAGATTCGTGGGATGGGGTAACAGTGGGAGGGGCGTCGAGTGTCGGTATCGAGAGGTGGATGGTAGTTCGTCGGACTTGAGAGAAGGACATGAGCCGTGATTCAGAAAACGGATTTTTTCCCCCCTTTACTTACATGTCGTAGAGCGATATGTAGTCTACTCTTTATCGTGCCTCCATCGTATATCGTCTGTCAAATCTATTAGCTCCAGTTTCTATAGACACGTACCAAAAATCGAACGTACCTTATGTTCTAACCAAAGACCATAGATTCGGCGCGTGAAGAAACGACGAAATCCTCCAGGTTAAAAAGCCTTTACTGCTGTACTTCAAATAAAATCAACAATCCGTATGCACGCATCGAGATAGAGGATGTGTGCCCACCTGGAAGAGAAAACCTCATTCCCTGTAGCTCTAGGTGACATTTCGATCCGGGCAGCGGCACGGCGGAGTCGATTGGGGTGCTGGCCGACGTGTCAGTTCTGGTGGTTTCAGAGCAGCGGTCGATAAGATGCTATATAGGCCTGATATCGAGCATGAACGAGAAGCTGTAGGCCATTTTTCTAAATCAAAGTTTACATTAGAGATCTGTTCAACAACGCACCTCGCAAACATCACCCAAAGTCAGAAGCCACCACAACGAAGGCGGATGTCCAAAATTCAGCCCGAGCAGCGTACATCTCGCGACGACAGGACGAGTACTTGCAGTTTAATTCGCTGATCGTGATTCACCCCGTGTTAACGAATGATTGAACGGCCGTTGATATGCCTTCGAAGATGAATGTGATGACGAAGCAGCTTTAAACTGGACTATGTTGATGATAGCAAACTGCGCAAAAGTTGTGAATGCGAGAAGGTGTAGAAACCAGGATGTTGGCCCAAGTACCTTGAAAATCTGCGCTTTCCAGCGTGGTTCATGGGCCAATACGAAGGACTGTCCCAGAAGGGGAAATTTCCGAAACCGAGGAGGCCGATAATGGGTCAAGCTTCAAGTGTGCGGATGGCGGTAGTATCGATACTATCGAATGACTTCGAGCAGAAATGTCTTCTTTTGCAGGAAATTATTCACCCAACTACGATCTTTTTGGAGAGTTAAAGTCGTCAGCGAGCAATTGGAACTTAGGAGTCGCGGATCGGTACGGAATGACATACTAGTTGGCCATTGTATGGCCACCGATGGATGGCTAGAGCATCTGAAGCACGGTCCAGGACCAGAATGCAAGTCTGCAATATAGCAAGGTGCCAGCAATGTGCGAAGGAGGAGCAGTGCCAGAGCTACTTAGAGCCTAGCGGGAGTCGTGGTGGTGGAAATCAGGCGCAAAAAAATCGTAATATGTCGGATTCCCTCTAGCCGACTTGAACGACTGACCTCGTCATATACCTAGGTGGAGGTACTAGTGACGCGCTCTACCACTGAGCTAAGAGGGATGATATGTTCACTTTTTCAATGTCATTGCCGGGCGGGCCCGCCACGTCCCTGAATATCATTGGCGGCAGTCTCCGGACCGGTCATCGCGTACGATCTTAATTTGCACGCGGCTGCGACCTGTCCTCAACAACATCAACCATCGCCTTGTTCGTCCTATGTTCGTCTGTTCCGTGCTGAAAGTATGCCTTCGCGAGAACTGGGCGAGCTATCAGGGTATGTAGCAGCCCATAGCCTGCTTCATCTGCTGATGAGCAAGTGCATAATTCGTTGGCTTCTCGCCGTCGCCTGGTGTCTGATGTTGGAATAAGTTTGAGGAGGTGCACAGGTATGTTGTAGTTGTCTGCATAGGTGTAATCACCATACTCAGCACAGGTTCTGCGTGTCATTCATCCATAGCCAAACTCTCCAAAACTTGCATGACCATCCTGCGGCTGCCATACGTCCCACGGGCTTACCACCGGTCTGAACGCCTATCTTTCGCGCCATTCCTTTTATTCATGCCCCTGCTAGACACTTAATGCCCGACTCTTTCTTGTGTTGATACGAGCGAGCTAACACATCAAACTTCCGCATCCTGCAGGAGGCCAAAGTCAAGTCGTGCAATCGGTAGGCCTTCCGGCATTGAGCGTCCGTTTCATGAAGATTGCCGGTCGCGTAGAGGGCGTCCTCTATGTGGTAGAAACTGCAGCTGCTCGGTTCAGGTGAGTGCGTACCATCAAATCAATGCCATCCCGTATCTTGGTCCTAACTGATCAGCGTTGTGTTAAGATCAAACTTGTTCGGTTGTAATTCTCTGGATAGGGTCGTGTTAGTTTACGGACGATGTCTTAATCTATCAGAGTAAAGGCCTAAAAGTGAGTCGGGTACCTTTTCCATCGCGTTCTCGCAGAAGCTAATTGCTATATATCCACCTTTGTGCGTTTCACCTTTTACAAGCGATATATTGACTCCAGGTCACGTACAAACTACCCAGGTCCCATGAACAAGCGCCTGCACAGCCACAACAACATTCCGCCTGTCCAAAGATCTATTTTCAACTTGCCACATTGCACGCTCGCTCTCACTCTCACCCTTCCGTGAGCCTCCCCTTCGAGCCATCTCACCTCTTGATCACTATCTCCTTCTCATCCGATCTGTAACACCCCACCAACAATGCCTTTGCCTCGCTGGGCAGTAGCATTTGGTCGCATCATCCGGGCTTGTACGGCATGCCAATAATAATCTAAATGAAAAGCTACTTTAACTTCAGTGGATATACATCGGTCTTTAGGGATCCCACGCGTGCTATTTTATACTGGATAGCAACGCCGCGGCCACCTTTCAATAATGTAACGATCAAGCGTCCAGACCCTCCATTGGGCAAGAAGTCGAGGGTGAATAATCCGTGAACTTTGCGGCACTCCCCATTTGCAAACTCTGCGGCCTGTATCGTGAGATTAGGGTGCATACGCATGAACGCTTTATCGTCGCCGGTGTGTGAAGTATCCCCAGTCAAACCAGCTTCCGTGTCGTTTTTGACATGAAATTGGTTTATAGATAATGAAAGATCACATGGGTCTTGAAACATGAGCGCTTGATCTTGGGAATGGGGTTCCCAGCGTTCTACGAGTTGACGCCCGCACTCAGCCGGCCACGTAGCTCGTTGCTCTGTCCAAACCGTCATCCCGACTTTGCTCTGTTCAATCATTTCCGCCCCTAACAAACATCCAAGCCATGAGCGCGAGTCATACGGACAGTCTCCCTGAAAAAGACATAGAAAATTCTCCGAATGCTTCAGCGGTTAGTGTCTACCCACCATCGCGATCGATATCGACACACGGTACAGTTAACTGATATTCATGGCCAGGGCCACCCAGAAACGAAGGCGGGTAATCCGGAGACGAAGATATTGGACCACGACGCACCGTACAAGCATGCACCTCCAAAGGATGGCGATCCGTGGACCACTGTTCTGACGCCTGAACTCGAGGCTGATACTGTACGTTGCACTGCGTGGAAAGAAGAGGTACAAAATCTGTTGATCTTCGTAAGTCAATTGATAATGCTCTAATGCCGAATTTCGTCGATTCTTACAAGGATGCCACAGGCCGGTCTTTTCTCTGCTGTAGTCACGACGTTTGTTATCGAATCGTACACGTTTCTTCAGCCAGATCCGAATGCCGCCATCGTCGGGTTGCTCTTCCAGATCGCCAATGGCCTCAACGCGACATCTTCCCTCCCTCCATCCGTGAATCCAGAATTCATACTCGCCCCATTTACACAAACGGCGTCCGCCATCAGGATCAACGTTTTCTGGTTCATCAGCCTGATTCTCAGCCTCACAACCGTTCTCGCCGGTACCATCGCTCTCCAGTGGCTCCGCGAGCACCAGTCCTACGTTGGGTATTCCGGGAAGGAGAAGCTGGCGATACTGCACATGCGCAAGGCCGCCGCTGAAGCGTGGTATTTACCACAGGTGTTTGCAGCGCTTCCCCTACTTCTCCAAGCTGCCCTGGTCCTATTTTTGGCCGGGTTGATCGATTTCTCGAGGCCTCTTGGTCTCGCGCTCACGATCCCCATCTCTGTCGTCATCGGATTAGTTCTACTTTTCCTCACGGCCACAACGATACTTCCGTCGCTCCAAGGCCTTTGCTTTTTCTTCGGGCTCTATCCCCAGGAAACGCTTCCGACTCCATGCCCATATAAATCGCCCCAGTCAGATGCTTTCCGATCACTGTATGGGGTCTTTCTTCGCGCAATATTTCGGGTTTTCCCTGCACCCAGCCCCAGTTTTGAGAACGACCACAAGTCTCACAACCTGAAATGGGTCATCAAGAACCGTCCCTTATTAATGCCCGACCATTTGGCACCATCGGTATACGACCTGTGGAATCAGCAAACCTGGATTACCTTCGACCGGGAATGGCTTTCTCTGAGGGACGCATGTCATCAGCGTCTGCTGGACGATGACCCGGACTTGTTTCACCACCGACTGCTCTGGAAACGCAGCTTCCCTCTCAGCGATGTCACAAAATGCCTCGTCAAGGCTGTATCCCAGACGCCAGGCACCAAACATACGGAATCGTATCTCGCGGCGCTGGTCCACTGTTTTCAAGAGCTTTCCGAATCCATATGGACAACCTCTCCCACCCTTTCGCTAGGCTCCGATATTCAACGGATAGATCGCCGTAACCATTACTTCGAACAACTGCACTGGAACCCTTCGTGCTCGATGTCGAAGTTCCTCCTCCATGGTGGAATCTACAAGTTCGAGCGATTCGATATACATTATCACGGCCTTCACAAGTACATGGAACCGAAGATAACGCAGCGTCTATTCTGCGATGACCAGACCGTGACTTTCCTCCGCATGCTTCTTGAGCACCATAGTTCGCCGGTGCTCGCCAGGTACCAACTCGAACTGTGGTCGCGCATCCTGCAGTCCAGTAGTCATGTTGCGCCTTTGACGCCTACTGGGGTCTATGGTTCATTCGTCCCTGTTCCAACCATTATCGAATTCCCTCTGATTCATTCTATGATGCCTGAATACCTTTCCGGTGAGACTTTCTCCGTAAATGTCCCCTGTTGTATATTAATTCTCTTTGAACGTTATGTAGATCAAAGAATCTCAACGATATCGAATGTTCTCAGCACGTTGCTCAAGCTGGCTGCTTCTCATCGTATCACGCAGGATGAAACGATGAATTCTCTGTGTACACACTCTCACATGGTCGACGTACTCAATTCGTTGGCTTATTTGACTACCCTCTATTTGCGATTGGCCCCGAAGGATACCAGGCATCTCGCACTACGGGAGGTCGACAACGAATTCGTCAGGATATTCGAGTTTATAGGCGACCAACTAAACGACAGGCTGTCCGATATGCCACTAGACTACGAGGAAATTCCACTGGACGTCTTCTTCTATTTCTCCGCGAGTTTCGTATGGGGGCTTCTACACTTCCTGTCAGATCAGGACGTTATTGATAATCAGGACAATAGCTTTGGGCAGGCACTCAGGACATTGCTTGATGCCTTGCACCGGACGTGGACATCCGGCCGGAGGAACGAGCTGATCGAGAGACGGTTCCAGGGTTTCCTCGGTAGCTATGAGAGATTCTCGGACAGGTGGTGGAACCGAATTTTCCAACATGTTACCGGGCCCACGGAGCAAGGTATTATATTTCTTATCCCATTCTTTCTTTATAATCGCGCTCAACGTTGCGATCCAACACAGTATCCGCCTCTGCGGATAGAAGCCCTACCGACGTTGGCCCCGATCCCTCGTTGAAGGTGGCCATCCCCTCGGGGACTCAAATTGACGTTGGTACCAGCCCCCTGCTTCCTACGGCATACTACCGCATCATCGATCCCTCTCGCAACGCGCGCCCTCAGGATGGCGATACCGATGCTCGAGTCGCATCCACACGCCCCGGCTCTGAGCCTCAATTACCCAAGGAAGAATCTGCTCCCAACGCGCCTCCCATCCAAAATCATCCCGCGGCAACGATAGAAGGTCTAGGTGTTGATGATCCAGTGTCGGAAGAGATCGTAGTGAACGGGACCGGCCACAGCGACGAGCATGACCTTCCGCCTGGCGAACTTCATTTGGCCATTGACGTTGCGTTACCAGATATTGCGGTGAAGGTGGAGCCTAACGACAACCTGGCAGCCTCTGGTACCAGCCTTCCACAGGAGGAATCGACGCAGGGGCATGTGATCATTCATATGGAACCTCCCAATGAGGCTGGAAAGTCGGATTAGGATCCTTGACAATATCTCGGCCTTCGAATATGCAGTACAGAATTGGGGAAGTTTTTGGGCAAGCGAATGATAGATTACATAGTTTTAAAAGAGGTCGCCTTTTGAGCTTGACGAAGGGCCTTCAGACCAGAAAACCAAGCGATGTATCAGAATTAAGAAAATGAAATTTCTTTGATCCAGGTATTTGTAGAGGATGAGATAAGGTGAATATGAGGTGAATCGGTGAATCATTCCCTCTCTCATTTTTCACATTTTA